AACTGACCAGCGCTGACTACAGGAAGCCCCAGGCAGAGTTGCTCTGCCCCGGGCTTCCTGGAATCAGTTGCTGATCAGTTTCAGCAGCAGCTGACTTGGGGACGCCTGGGGTTCTTAAGTTGATTCTGTATGTAAGTTAGAACTGGCGGTCAGTTTCAGCAGCGGCTGAATCTGGATGCCAGTTCCGACTTACATACAGATTCAACTTAAGAACAAACCTACAGTCCCTATCTTGTACGTAACCCGGAGACTGCCTGTACAGAATTTGTTTTAAATTCTTCTTTGTATTTGAGTGTGTATCACCTTCTGGATGAGTTTTGCTAATCTTTTACTTTGTAGCATACTAATCTGGTGAGGTGGAGGCAAATGATAACTTTAATTAATATCTGTTTATATTTTTTATCTGTAGGAGAGGATCCAAGACAAAACCAAGAACGCAGAATCCCAACATGGGAAGGAGAAGAAAAGTACTAAATTCACCTACTGCCAGATATAGTGCATTTTAACATTGGTATGGACTTGCTCACTCTTGTCAAATCACACTGTGCTTACTAATGTTGCATTTTAATACATCGGCAGTGCTCTGTTTCTCTTTCTATTGTTTAGCAACTCTCTTCATTTCTCTTCTTCTCACCCCTCTGCTCATTCTTAGTTCTTTTTTGCCTCTCTTGATCCATCTAATTTTTGTCTCCCCTTCCACACTGCAACCCCGCACCCCACCACCCACCCAGACTCAAAATCTCAATCCTATCTAATTTGCATTTTACAAAACAGGACACATGGGTTAGACAGGAGCCTGCCTGGAGGAGTTTACAATCCAAATGTCAGTATTGGCCATAAATAGGCTGATGAGCAAGACAGAGGTCAGCTCATTGTTAATCAGCACTAGGAGGATACATGAAACAAATTTTGTGTTTGTTTGTTTGTTTGTTTTTTAAGGACAGATTTGCAGGAGAAATTCCAGGAGGGATGTTTGCCCCCGAGGAAAAGGGATGCTGTTCGAAGGGTTAATGGCTGGGCTTAAAAAAGGCATGGAGTCAAAATGAGAAGTAAGTGATGATACGGAGAGCAAGTTGCGCAGGTCATTAGGGTGCAGGTGAAGTTATCGTCAGGATGGAGACCTGCAAAGGTGAGGATGAGAAGCTCGAAAAAGGCTTGGTCAGAGAAAGATGAGGTTCAGATCCCAGCTCTCTCTCCTCTTCATGTCTGCATGACACAAGAAAGTGAACTGTTAATTCTTCTGCCCCCCCGTCTCTGCCCCACACCACTGCTAGTTGAGAGCGACAAAGATGGATGGCAGAATTGGGGAGTGAACTGAGAGTGGTTGATGGGAATGGATGGGAACAGCACGGAAGAAATCTTTGCTGAGGGCAGATCTTTGGGCTGTGAACCAGGGACATGGCTGGCTGGAAAGGAGCTGTCCTGGAAGGCTTCCATTGAATTGTCAGCTGGGGATGGCTGACATGGCCAGACGCACAGACAACACCCTTGCCCTTCCATGGGTTAAGAGCTGCTCTGGGGAGACTATCAAATGAATATAAAATCTCTGGGGAGATGGCTCTTTCCAAAGCCCTGAAGCGAGAGATGTGCTGCATGTCATTTCTGTCTAGTTTTGCACTGTAAGCTTTTAGGGACAGATGTCTTGCTGGTACCTTTTCGTTTTTACCGGCTTGTAGAATTCTCTGTGCTCTCCTGGTGAAAGACAAACAATGGGTCAATCCTTAAGAAACCCTTAATTAGCCCTCCTTTTCTTCACTCAGGTAGCCCTTCCCCTCCCTTTAACCTCAAAGCATAGTGTGCTATACTGTGCAGTTAGCTCAGATAACCAGTATCCAAGTCTGAGCACCCAGGTTAGACCAGCCAACACATGAGCATGTCCACAGCAAAACGCTACCCACATTGCAGTGTCCTCACTGTTTCTGCACTCTCCCGGTGTGTCTAGACCCCCTTCTCTCCCCCCCCCCCCCCCCCCCCCCCCCGCCCGCACCACAACACCCTTCCGATAATAAAAATTGCTACACAACCCTAGCAGCAGTGTTCCCTGGAAGATGAGTGCTTGGGCACCCATGCAGGAGCAAGTCAAATGCCCTGCCCACCTCCAGTGGTACACATCTGCACGCGTCTTGGTATAAAAAACAACATTTATTATGCACATGGATGGACAAAAATTAGAGGGAATGCTGCCCGGGAAGGGGGAACCAAAGAATAAAAATTGCTACACAACCCTAGCAGCAGTGTTCCCTGGAAGATGAGTGCTTGGGCACCCATGCAGGAGCAAGTCAAATGCCCTGCCCACCTCCAGTGGTACACATCTGCACGCGTCTTGGTATAAAAAACAACATTTATTATGCACATGGATGGACAAAAATTAGAGGGAATGCTGCCCGGGAAGGGGGAACCAAAGCCTGAGCCTACGCAAGCCCCCTCTGCCCTGGAGAACCTGAACCCCATCACCCATGGCTGATACTCTTGAGCTTGGGCTTCAGCCCTGGGTCCCACCAAGTCTAAGCCAGCCTTAGTGACGCCATTAAAATAGTCGTCACCCACGTTGGGGTCACCACCACAGTTAGTGAAACATTGGTCTAGATATATATCCCGTGGTTCTCTGTATAGAGATACTCTGAGATTCATTCGCAGTCAGTTGTGTCAGCACTTGTCGGTCGTTCATGGGGAGCTGCGAGAAGGGCACTTGAGTTTGCCTGCATTGTCATTGTGAAATGACTGGGTCCCAACCCCAGTTGATATAGCACTGAGGCACTAGCTGATACCCAGCTGGGTAAACTGAGTTGGGCTTAGACCTCATCCAAACCTGGGTCAGAGTCCCATGTGGGTGGCAGAGGAGTTTGGGCTATAATAGTTCAGAGTCAAGGTTTATTGTGCAGACTGGACGTAACCCCAGGGAGTTTTGCCTAAGCAAGGATTTCAGGATGTAATCCAGTTGATATAGCACTGAGGCACTAGCTGATACCCAGCTGGGTAAACTGAGTTGGGCTTAGACCTCATCCAAACCTGGGTCAGAGTCCCATGTGGGTGGCAGAGGAGTTTGGGCTATAATAGTTCAGAGTCAAGGTTTATTGTGCAGACTGGACGTAACCCCAGGGAGTTTTGCCTAAGCAAGGATTTCAGGATGTAATCCCATGCCTGGGTCATTTTCTCAAAATTTCTTTTTCTTCAGAAGAATCCACCTTTAAAGCCCTTGTATTACTCCTGAGGGAATTCTGCAACACTGCTGCATGTGTGCAGAATTCATGTGCCCCACATATTTCTTTGCTTCCTTGCAGAAAAATGACTTTTTTTACAGGGAAACAAAGGGATGCCACGAGAACAGTCAGGCACCCATCTCCAGCCATGTAGGTGCATCATTTCTGGTGCCTGGAGCAGCTAGCTAAGAGGAAATCACTGCTGGCGGGGGGGGGGGGGGAA